TATTCAAATTGAAGTGCGAGAGTGTAATTTCCGGCCATCTAGAGATGCCCTAATCATAAATTCTCTTACCTCAGCCCCAACCATGGTGGGGCTGAGGTGGATGGTTCCTCGGTCTGTCTTTGCGCTTATTTGTAATGCGTCTATCTAATTTTCACTTTATCCTCTCAAACAGTCCTAAGAACGTTCGGAGTGCGCTACTTCACAGGGGGATTGACCCCGCCGGGGTCATACGTAATTCGCATAACGGCTCCCCCCCTTTCAAAATCCTGGCTACGTCCCTGTCTTACTTTACAGCAAAATACCGGTATCTCTGCCGACAATTACATCTGAATTACCTATAATACGCGACTCGAGTGAGCGTGAATTTATTAATTTGAGAAGTATAAGAAAAAGCGTGCAAAGAAAAGTTTTCGGCACATGAAGTAGATAAAGTATAGTAAATACATCAAAGACAATAAAGTTTTATTTTCTATGGTACCGGTACATCACAGCGATTAATTAGAATGATAATGAGGAATTTTACTATATAAGAGTGTCATATCCGGCAATTTAGAGGTACAATATCCCCAAATGTTACCACCTCAGCCGCACCACTGGTGGGGCTGGATGCGTGTGGACAGTTTTGGAGTAGGTAAAGTAAATACATCAAAGACAATGTTTTTCACTTGTGATGATGAATTTTACTACATAAAAGTGTCATTTTAGGCCATCTAAAGGTACTATTTCCTCAAATTTTCTCACCTCAGCCCCAGCCATGGTGGGGCTGAGGTGGTTGTGAAATCACGTTTTTGAAGTAGGCCTATGTAAAGTACATACTCAAAGACAATGCTTTGAAGCTTTGTTTTCTATGGTATACACACACATTAATAAGATCTCTATGATTGTCAAAAATTCATGATAAAATATCATGAGAATTTTTGTTGGCGCTTCATTTTGACTAATGGTGATGTGATGATGATGAATCCCCAAACATCGGTGGGTTGGTGGGTAGGTTGTGACTCACAACTTGTCCACCTTGTGTTTTATATTTATTAATATTCTATGTTGGTGCATTCCACACAGACGCTGCAGATCAACCTACTTGATGACTTTAGATCCAACATTCAAGTGATCCTCTTCCTTTAAAGGCTAGGTTATAGACAAATTGTCTGTGTCATACAGTGGCTCAGAGCTGAAACTCTCTGATACATTTTGGGCCGTCTCTATTTTAATAAACTAAGAAACCACAAGAAAGAAACATTTCTATTTACAATGGCTGAAAATTCATATACAGATGGCTCTGCTATCATTTTTTACACCATTACAATATTTAATATGTACGTCTTTTTTTATCTTTTAATTTCCGTTTTGTTGGTTTCTTTTGTTCATAGAATAGTCTAGATGCCATCATCATTTGAGCATCTTTGATTCATGATTACAAGAAAACGATGCTATGGTCATGGTTCTTCTGTTCTATTCATTTCTGAGTTCCTTGGTAGTACTAGTAGATTTTGGTCTTTTTTTTTGTAATGGGTCTATATGCAATCTTATCTTGTAATTTTTGACTTTAGACAACGCAAAACAGATTGGTCAAATTTGTGTATAACTACCGTGAATGATTTAAGTTTCATCAGCAAGATATTTCTAGTCTGGATACTCGATTCATAGAGTTTCAATTTTTCAAAATTGGGTTTTTCTTTCGTAAATTTAACTGTATTTTTATTCTAAAAATGATGGTTCTTCTAATGTAAGTTTTCATTGTATAATATTGCCGTCAATCATGTCATTACAACCTTTCCTGGTAGCGCATTTTTGGTGGTAGATTTCATAACTCTTAGGTTTAAAGAATTGGACACGACATCATTGTTATATATTTTACAACTTTTAATTAAAAAGTATTCACACAGAATATACTTTTAGGCAGTATAAATCCTGTTTTTTCAAACAATAGTCCTGTACAATGCTCACATTGACATTGACAAGGCATACATTTTAAAGATCCCTTTATTCTGCATTTTTTAAATGTTTTTTGTGTTATTCTATTTTTGTTTTTATATTATGTAAATTTTTGAAAGGCTAAACATATATAATTTAATTTTTTTTAAGAATTGAAAAACATTATGTTTTAATCAGTGATGTAAATTTAATAAAAACCTTTAAAATATTAGGAATTTTAGAATTTCAAGATTTAAAATCGCTGTATCTTATTTGACAGGAATTATTTCATCAGGATTTATTATAATTATGAGAAGCTTTCCTTTTTAGTGATGCACTTTGATCACTAAGTATAAAGACTAAAACTACGTTTAATGGATATTTTAAAAGTTTTTTTACCAAATGTATAATAATTTCATCAACCACGTTCTTTTAATTACTGACTTTATTATGGTTTTAAATATTTTAAGTCTAGTTAAGGATGTAACTTGTTTAATAACTCAAAATTCGCTTATTTTATATCAATTTGAGAAATATACTTTAATTTGTCTGTGAGTGATTGATTCTTTCATTTAATGATAGTCCTACTATCTTAAAATACTTTTTGTATTAAATATGATATAAATAATATAAATTTTATTCGTCTTTATATCTGTATTAAAATGTACTTGCGGTAGAATGTCAGCATCAAAAGAAATTTTTCTATCAGTTTCATATTTGACAATTTTAAATGTCAAATTGATTAATTGTAAGGATTTCTTTTGTACACAGACGTCATTGATTCGTTTGGTGTCAAGATGCTCCATAGACCGAATTAGTCACCACAGCTACTGAGTATAGCATCAAAACAGTCCGGTAGGTGGCGGTGTTTTCATACAATAATAAACCCCCGCTCGATAAATTTTTGACATTTTTAAACGCCTTATTCTTATTGTATCTGTACATCTTACCGAAAAGCATTGGTATAATTTTCCATTATTTACCCCAGTAATTTTGACCTGTTGGATTTGTAATAGAGTGAAATAATTGGTTTTGTTTAATAGTTATATTATTCTGTAATATAATGAAGCTTGAAATTATTCAATTTCATGTGATTTATATTCAATTGTTAACTCACATAAAATGTATCAACAAGATTGAAGAAACCAATCATTAAAACACGAGTTTGAATTTATTTCTTCGAAATAAAATTTACAAAACTAAGTTTTTGACCAATCGATGGCCATTCCACCTTCTCTTATAATATTGCAAACCTAGTGCAAAATATCTACTACACAATCCATTCACATTGACATACTGATTTCTGGTTAGATTTTGATTTACTCAATGACATTATCTTTAAACTTTGAAAGAAAAACCAAAAATTATTTTTGAGGGTAAACCAGTGTCCTACTTTCATGGGAATAACATTTTTCCAAGTGTCAAAGTATGTTTTATTGAAAGAACTGAGATTCTATGAACTTCTATTATTGACGTTTTCAACTATTTAAATTTCTCAAATATTTTGACATAAGTATAAACCTATTTGTGAGTATATTAATTTTAAAATTTACAATTGAAATATTATAATTAGATTGGTCGTATTTTCATTTGTGCAAATCGGAGGGAATAGTTAAAACCTCTCCATTGAACCCAGATAATACCCTTGCCATACTGATTGTTACGCCCTTTAAGATAAAGACCATTAAGGTTGGCATGGTGACATGTTCGGTACCACCAAGCTCCAGAATATTGCTCTGCGCAATTCCCGGTCCATGCATCGTTGTCACGGTCAAAGGTCGAGAAAGGCTGGCCTCTGTGTAATGACATTGCATCACCTGAAAATAGATTTCATGTAATTATTATAACTTTATTTGAAGGAATTATTCATTTTCCTCAATTATTTGTTCCTACTAACCCTCGAAATTTGAGTCATTAAAAGCAATTGATGCTAAAATCATGATCATATGAATTTTATATTGTGGCGCATTGCGATGAACCTGGTATTACGCGCCACTTAAATTGATTGATTGATTGATTGGCTGGTCTTAGTTGACTAATTGATAATAACATATTTAGTGGAGTAATCAACTTGATGTAGGCCTATAAACTATTCTATTCATGTACCTGCATTGCCACCGATATAACGCCCCAGACTCATTGTGTAATTCCTCTCCTCACTTGAAACTCTGAAAAAAGTGTAAAAAGCCTCCCGACGTTCACCCATGAAATCCTCCATTTCTACCCAGAGTTCATAGCGACCTTGGTGAGTGATCTTGTAAATATTTTCAAGACCTAGCCAGAAGTCTCCTCGTAGTGTTCCAAACCCAAACTTGTATTCTTCCCAAGTTCGGTAGAAGTTGACGTTTCCATACTTGCGGCTCTGAATTACCTATTTTAACAACAAATGAATATTATCAATACGATTTTGGTATCCTGGTTATAGTTCGATACTTTGCAAAAAATATTTTAATATTTTTAATTGAATTTACAAAATAGTTCTTGATAAGGATTATTTTAATCAGTTTTGGTAATCTGAATATTATACCATACCAATTTTAAAATATCGTGTAATTATAAATCATAAACTCCCTAAGCCTCCTAATACGAGACTTTTAGTATTTGGTAAATTTTATTTTCATGTTTATGTTTTGTGTGTATATTTATCTTTGTGAAGAGATTGCCACTTAAAAAGTGATAAGTTCAGATTATCCTTGGCTCCAAAAATATCGCAAATAATAATAAAAAAATAATAAAGGTAGCATAATACTAACGTAGTAGATCAAAATATGCAGTAAGAAATTTATACTTTATAATGACCTAGAAATTTAATATCTAGCCTAAAATGAAAATAAGACATCCTTTCCAATATTACTCACCGTCCAACCACCACCCTGGGTCTCATGTTCACAGTAAACTTGGACAGGGTCACAAGTATTTACATCTTGGGTAAAGATGGTAAAGGGACCGTTAATTCCCCCTCCCTGCAGGCGGATGTCGTCGCAGTCCTTTGGTAGCGGAAATAGAGCTGTGATACAAGAATAATAAGGCGTAAATATGACTAATTATTCTCCAAGAATACTCAAAAAATAGAGCCTATACAGGCTATCCAAAACTACAAAAGTTTGCGCATATCTAATTAAATGGTATTATCCCACGATAAAATAAATTTGCAAGTGTGTCTATCACAATGATCAAGTACATATATTTTAATAATACTGTATATAGTGAAGTGGTTGTACGTACCTCCTAATCTTGTCCAGGATTGTGGACAGCAATGTAATGTGTCGACATTAGGGGACTGGATTTGAGCCGCACAGAGTCCAAATAGTAAGACCGAAATAAAAGCTACCAGCCCCGCCATGTTAGCAGTAACCTCTTTTCTCAACTCTTTCTAAGAGTTTACACGGGCGAATCCAAGCCGGCTTTTTGAGGCGAGTTTCATTCACTACTACTATTGGTGACAGTTAGGATTTTTAATTGGAAAATTGGCTGAATCCGAAACTGAACAGTCACTTCCCGTCTGTGACCTACAGATGTCACGGGCGTATAACATAAAGTTTAAGACAGAAGTTACTTATACAAATATAAATAGGTCTATAACCCGCTTTTGACAACGCAATTTAAACATGGTCATTTGAGATCATGTGCTGCGATCACACCTTCTTTGATTATAAAAACCTCATTAATATGAAATCGCTATGAAAACTTAGACAACTCCCATTATCTGCAGTATGTTACGTATAATATTACTCACAGTTGTCAGATTCAATATTCAATATTAAACCAAAATGTTTTTCCTTTGTATACATTTTTTCCCGTTTTAACAAAAAAGTTCGAACCAAGACGGCTAAACCCATTCATGGCTTGGAAATCTCCATTATCTTGTTAGGTAAGTAATAAGGATGTTGATTACATGTCTAATTGTCTTGCTAAACGTGCCTACCACATGCAAATCTTTGAAGCAACACCATGTATCTCATATGCCCAAAAGTTCAACCAGTTTGAAGTACACTTATCCTCATGGAATCCTGCAGTTGTAACAATTCCATGGATAATTCTGACAATTTCATAAACCCGACAATCTAAGCCCACGAAAACAATTGTATGAATTGTAATTGGATATAATTTATGTGTGGGTTAGTTTATTTTAAAGGGCACATATTTGGCTGCCAGAATACATTTTCCTATATTGGTCAGCAATGTCAAAATTATAAATTGAAAGAAAGTAAAAATCAACAGTTGCATGATTTGTAAAAAGCCACCAATTAGGCCTAATACTTCAGTCCAAGGAATTAGGAGTCTAGGACGATAGTATTATATGATCATATAAAAATATAATGACGTAATAACATATAGGCCTACTGTACACCAAAAGGAGATGTCAGGTTATAGGTAGTCAATAATTTTATAAAAGAAAGATTACCTAAAGTCATGGTAGAGTCAAAATGAAATTTCACAGGAAATACGGGATTTTTTCCTCCTGATTACTCGATATATATACGGAAACCCCTATTATGTGTTTATAATTTGATTTTAGAGACTGTTGTGAGTTTATTTGCAGTCTTAAGCATAAAACTGGAACTTAAACATTTAATAATAAAATACTTTAAGTAAATGAAAATGATAATTGAGTGATAGACAATCTGAAATTGAAAAGGACTCCGGAAGGAATTTAACGATCATCAGTTTAAATCTAATTACAATTACATTTCGATTTTTTTTAAATTTCAGTTTATACTCTCAATGTTTACGGTAGCTGTTTCAGTTCTCCATAATGTTTAACCTAGCTACAAATTAAGTTTTAGGCTACGACAAGAGAAAACAATCCCTTCTAGGCCAATGGACTAGTCCCTACTTTATCTTTAAAAATCTGTTCATATATGAGGCTTTCACTTAGTAAAGTTGTTACTGATAAAATATGAAGTGTTTATTTGGGCTACTTTTTCTAGGCTTAGTGGCGGCTCAAACCCCTCCTGAATGTTGTCCAGCTAAATGGGGTGATGTAGGCGGTAAGTATCACTACTTAGTGGTTTAATAATTTTGTTAGGCCTATTATTAGTCTATACAGTAGATCTAATAATTTGTTAAACCATAGTAAAACGTAATTTGCAAGACCAAGGAGGTTCTATCATAGTACCAACCTATCAGTGGATTGCCTTCTATATGTAACTTTAATGATTATACACCTAAAACTAATATGTATAATGTTAAATAAAAACTTACTCATCATGTCAATTCGTGTTTAAATGAAAAATAAAAAAATATGAATTTGTACTAACTGTATGTGTAAATATCAAAATAATTGCCAACTGTCTTGATGCTCCTTTTTGAAATATCGTTAAAAAAAATAGAAAAAAGAAGACAGATAAAAATAGAAATTTTGTCACTTTGTCATCACTGTATTATAATTCGTTTACTACTCGATGAGTCATATTTAGAACCAAGCTGTATATCCATATTTGGAATGTATACCGGCGGTAGAGTTTATATACATCGAAAAACTATTAAAATATAATTTATATGACTTTGATTAAGTTTTAAGCGCTCTGCCCAGTGGACCAGGGTCATGAGCACCAAAAAATATTGTATCACAGATATCATGGCCTAATTTTTACATTTTTAATATTTTTTCTGCAATTTTATTCTCTATTTTTATGGGTCCTTTGTGCAATAATTTTTAATGTAATTTTAATAATTTGATTTTATTATTAACTTCGATTTATGTATTTTCTTATTGTCAATTGTAATAATTTGTATTGTACTTGAATATTACTAATTTAAATATATATATATTTATTACTAATTTGTATATATTTTTTCAATGTTGTAATTTTTGAGCAATGACTATTCTCAATGTAATTTCCTTTTGGACAAATAAATTTGAATTTGAATCATATATGTACCGGTATGTATTATATATATACTATAAGTATTCATACATAATTAAAGCTTATTTATTTATATTTGTTTATTTATATTTATTTAAATTTATTGTACCATGATTTTGCAGATTCTTAAGAGCTGTTAGTGGCATATGAAAGAGTGAAAATTATCTAGTTGTAATCAGATACGATTTCTCGCCGAAGTCAGTTTGGTCGAGTTGTTAAGGCCTAAAATAATTTTTGAAATTTTGTATTTACTACTGGTTTATTTTTGAGCAATTGTTAATGTACCGTACTCTTTTGTTTTTGTGTGAAATTACAATAAATATAAATAAATAAATAAATAGCTGTTAAGGCATCTGCATTGTTGGGGCAACTTTTTAAATTCACACCTGCAAATTCATAATTGTATAGTACCACAAGACCATATTAAGTTTTTCACTTTGTACAATGATTTTCTATTCATAAGAAACTAAAGAAACAACAAGTTGGACACTTCAATATAGAACTATTACGATTAATCTAAACGTAACAGAAAAACATCTGACCAAGTATAATAAACAAAATGAATCCTACAGGGACTTAAACAGAGAAACATTTGCATGCAGGGCGAACCTAGTAACTAATAATATGGATATAAAACAGAAATTCGGCGAAAAATTAAGAATCAATCAATTATTATACTTTAGCAACTCGAACTCGTATCCTTTTGCATATATGGAAGATGACTTGACTTATTACAACGTCATAATGCTCTGTCCACTCTATCAAATTTATGTGACAAATTTTTGTGATGTGCCTATATATGGGCATGGTGATATTGCATCAAAATATGACCATATCACATTTATTTGTCACAGAAATTCATAGTGTGGAAACAGCACCAAGTAAATACATTAATATCCACCAGAGAGGCTTTTGTGGAGTAAATTCAAGTGCTATCTTCTGAATAAATGAATAGACTATCCTACGCATGTACTCAGAGTATTGTACAATTATTTTCCATTTTAATCGTGAGGACCCCGTTATTGTAAGCTTTTGCTAATCTGTAACACTAATCCTTACAACTACTAATATAGCATATTCTAACTTTAATTGTATTATGCATTTACTTTCCTTCATTGCCATATTCATTATATATTATTGGTGAGGCTAATCCCACGCTATTATGATGTAAAGATGCAATTGATTAGAGAATAATTTAAAGATTAAATAATTTATGTTTTGTTGCATTGCAAATTCAAAAAAACTTCTGTGAAGTCAGAATATAAATTAATAAATCAAAATGTCTATGAAATAAATTAGAGTAGGAATTAATAAAATTACACAGAAAGGATATGTCATTAGACTTTATGTTTTTAATATGATACTATGAATCACGATACATTGTCTTTGTTTTGAGAATAGTATGACGCAAAAACATCATGCTTAATTATAATACTAATAAAAATAATAGTAATAATAATAAATAATAATCTTTAATATAATAATAATCATTATTAGTAGTAGTATTCTTAATATTTCTATTGTTTTATTACTATTAATACTGTATATTATATAACTCAAAATGGTAAAGGGGAAATGCAATAGAGACCCCAAAAAGAAAACACTTTGACCTAAACTTCTATTATGAATGTTACTGTCATTGCAGCATTGTTCCCTCTGCCAAGAGATTGTTTGGATGTTCGTAATTTTGGTGGTCAAAGATCTGGTGTTTATGTCATTTACCCACAGTCCGTTGAGAATTGCCGACCAGTCCGAGTATGGTGTGACCAGTCCCAGAGCAACGGAGGATGGACAGTATGTCGCTGTTTTACTCTTTAAAAATAATGTTTTATAAATTACATAAATACATTCTGCTATTGTTATTATAGTCATCATTTATGCCTATTAACAACCCTGTGCCGGATTCAAGGGGTGGGGGGAAGCCAACCTGGGCCCCACCCCACAATTTTTCAAAATTATAGAAAAATTGTGGAGAAAAAGAGAAAAACATATTCAAATTTAAGACTGAGAGTGCCTTTTCCGGCCATATAGAGGTGCCATAATCATAAATGTTTTACCTCAGCCCCAACTAACGTGGGGCTCATGTGGTCTACATTCTTTATCTGGTAAAATGTTTCTCTGGTCCTTCAATTCGAATTCCTGGACCCGCCATTGCAACCGGTCTGCACTTTATGGCACTATATTAGAAAACGGTTGTCTTCGTTTTGAGATAACAATTTACCATCCGTTTCGTATCATCAGCAGCATCGTCATTGTCATCATACAGATTTCAGTGAAATCACAACATTATTACATTGATAATAATAGCAGAATAATAAAGAAGGTGATATTAATTATAATAATAAATAATAAGAATTGTCGGAGTGTTGATTGCCATCCCAAAACCAGCGTACTGTCGCTTAATGTTAAACTAGCACTTAGAAAAATTAACAGCATTATAAGTCATTGTTACCTAATTATAATTATTGTTTATAATTAATGCTTATTAGTAATAATTTGCTACTTTTTCAGGTGATCCAAAGACGTGTTGACGGCTCAGTAGATTTCCTCCGTGACTGGGACGCATACAAAACAGGTTTTGGCAGTGTTGCTGGCGAACACTGGTTGGGTCTGGAAAATATGCACCACCTAACAATCCAGGGCAGGTAAAGTGCCATGAAGGTCTTCAATTATTTTATTGATTACCAATTGGATCTCGGGAGTAGTTCTCACAACCTCAGCAACAGCAGAAACAAACAATAGCAACAACTACAATAAAAATAAGTAACAGTTAACAGTTAAAGTAGTAGTATCAATCATATTATTATTATTATTATTATTATTATTATTATTATTATTATTATTATTATTATTATTGTTGTTGTTGTTTTTGTTGTTATTTTTGTTATTATTATTATTAGTATTATTATTATTATTATTGTGTTGTTGTTGTAGTTGTTGCTGTTGTTGTTATTATTATAGGTCGACTTATAAAGGACCAATAAACAAGATCTCCAAAATAGGCCTACAAGAACACAAGCTTACAATGAAACTTCTGCGCCAACCTCTTCCACATATATAAATCATTCATACATCAATCATTATATTGGCATATTCACATTATGATGTTGGTGCATATATTCAATAATCATCAACCGCCACGTCAACACAGATACAGAATCCGTCTATTGGAGTTAAGTGGTTCAAAATGTAATCAAATGGCTAATTATTGTGATTTCAGATACGAATTACGAGTACGTATAGAAGATTTCGCTGGTCAGAGTAGGGAAGCCGAATACAGACTATTCCGTGTTGGCAACGAAAAGGCCGGAAACTATACATTAACGGTTACTGGCTTCCAGGGTGGTGGAGCAGGTAAGGGTTCAGTTCGGACCGTACATACTCGCTAATGAGCCTTCTAATTCAGACAAATCAAGTCAGGGTTAAACACATCCCCAAAGGTAGAGAAATTTTGGCTTTAAAGCCCTATTCGAGCTAGAAAAATGAAAATCGATTGGTACCAGGCTGGATGGACCACCCTCACAAAATATTGTTGAAATAAATAACTTAAGTTATTGTTGAAACTAATAACTTAGTATGTTAGCTCAATGACTTCTTTCCACAGTAAGAATTATCATTTAATTATTCACTTAATTTTCATATTTCGTCAAAGAATACCTGTTGCTAATTTTTATTTTAATTTAAGGAAACGGATTGAGCATTCACAACGGAATGCCATTTTCAACGATAGATCGTGACAATGACTCATGGGGAAGAAACTGTGCCGAGGAGTACACAGGTGCCTGGTGGTATAAGGCCTGTTTCACGTCCAACCTCAATGGACAGTACCTAAGAGGTACCACTACACTATACGGAAAAGGAATAGTGTGGAGTACTTGGAGAGGCTACAATTACTCTTTCAGACGCGTAGAGATGAAAATTCGGAGGAATTCGTAGCAATTATGAATGTAGAAATGATCGGTACTAAATTACACGAACATCATTACCTCAACCATCATCATCGTCACAGTGCGCCACACATTGAACATGCAAATATAATTATTCAACTAGGCCTCCATTTTGTTTAACTAATAATACAATAATGCTACTAATAGCAACACACGATTGTTTGCAAAAAATGATGCTTTTTTATGATAATTTCTGGGTTTTAAGACAATAAAATTTTCTTGAATCTTAAATAAAGAATTAGGAATAAAAATAAAACGTTGTTTGATACAACTTATTTGTTGCCATGTACCATGTATTATTGTAATTGTCAAATTGAACAAGGCAATTTATACCAGAGACACGTGGTTATTATGTACCGTGGATTAGAAACGGAATAATAATTAATGAAAAAAGACATAATCAAATAAACAAACGGAATGATATTTTTTTTTATAATCATTCTTTTACACATGTAAGACGTTCAATAAAACCAATGTTCGGACTTTAAACAAGACATCAATTAAAGAAAACATTCAAGTACTGTAATGCGATTTCTTTTAACCAAACTTATAATTTGTTTTTAAACATGTTTGCTTAGAATTAAACTACAATAAAAAATGGTTGCTGGCTTTGGGCTCATGACAAATATAGTTACCTTTTATTTTTATTTATTTTATTCAATTTCCAGGTGAAAATACACAAAAATATACATAAAACAACAGTACAATCAACACCTGAGAGTAACCATAAGTGGGATCAATTCAAAGAATTGCACTAAGTGGCTTTTCTTTTGTTTTTCATTTCAAATTTCAACATTCATTAACATTTGCTTGATGAGAAATATCTTTATACCAACAAATTGATCCAAAGTTTCAAAAAACTTCCTCACGTTTAATCTAAATGTCTGCTAACAAGAAAGGAATTAGACAACAGTAATTCTCGCATTGATAATCAGATCAGAGTAATGTTCATCCCCATGTTGGATGTATTTAACTGTGCTAAAAAGTCTGAAAAATTCGAGACCCCACTAATTCCGAACAGCTTCCAAATATGATATACCGGTAGGCCTACTTGGGACACATGATTACCATGGATTGATGGTAATCATGTTTGTGTATGGTCAACACTATTGTAGGAGTTGGAACTTAGACTCCATTTAAAACAAGTATAAAACGCCTGGAAAGTTTTGAAATGTGAACTTTTAGGAGGATCCTCAATATCACATGGAAAGACAAAATTAGAAATACAGAAGTACTGTACTGAGAATGAATACAAAAAGGACACTAATCAAAATAAAAAAGGAAGAAAACTGGAATACCTTGACGATGTTGTCAGCACTGGGGGGGGGGGGTTTCGGGGGCATCCTCACCCAGAATATTTTTAAATCTATAGGCTGTGAATGGTGTTTTTAGCATATAAAAGTTAAGGCTGACACCCTTGCATATGCTGAATATAATTTTCATGATTCAAAGGTGTATACACAGGACGAGGTTGTATTTTGACCATGATTCGCTCTAGAATCAAGATAGGCAAGAACATTCGACTGAACTAAAAGTTAATATCAGTGTCACTGCATGAGTCAACAAGGGTACGAGATGAATAAAAGGCATAATTTGGTGATGTCTTTGGCATTAAATCTACTCATTGAGTATGCTCGTCAGCTCGTTTGGCCTGAGATAGATCCACAGGCTATAGGTCTAGCAGCTCTATGAGAAAAATATTTGGTCTGGAAAAGGGTGACCAAAGCCGAGTGGGGGGGGGGTCGGCGGGACCCCCCCCCCCCTTCTGGCTACAGGCCTGACATAAACAGAACTAGATAGAACGTCGCACCACAGATAGTGCCTACCTCCGCCCTGCGCCTAAATACAGAATTTACGCAAGACGGGCGGGCGAGCGATTTCATGTTTTCTTCATGCTCGAGAATAGGTTTCTTCAAACTGTACAGACGCGCCATTTACAGACGTCGATCAATATGGTACACACTGGTTGCTCAACTCAAAAAGAGAACTTATAATGTTCTTTTGAAAATTTAAAAAAAAAATCTATATTGTATTATAGTAGGTCGATTTATAAGGCAAAAATAAACAAGGTCTCTAAGCACCAAATAAGAATACTGTAGTATTAACAATAATGACAGACGTCGATTAATATGGTACACACTGGTTGCTAAATTCAAAAAGAGAACTTGTATTTGAAAATGAAAAAAAAATCTATATTGTATTATAGTAGGTCGATTTATAAGGCGAAAATAAACAATCTCTAAGCACCAAAAAATAATAATAATGACAGCCGTCGATCAATAATGGTACACACTGGTTGCTCAACTCAAAAAGAGAACTAGTAATGTTCGTTTGAAAATGAAAAAAAAATCTATATTGTATTATAGTACTGTAGGTTGATTTATAGGCGAAAATAAACAAGGTTAAGCACCAAATAATAATAATAATAATAGGCCTGATAATAATAATAATAATAATAATAATAATAATAATGACAGACGTCGATCAGTGTGGCACGCACTGATTGTTCAACTCAAAAAGAGAACATGTAATGTTCGTTTGAAAATGAAAAAAAAAATCTATATTTTATTAAATAGGTCGATTTATAAGGCGAAAATAAACAAGGTCTGTAAGTACCAAATAAAATGACATTGTAGCGTTCGTTAACAATGTTTGTCACTGGTGCTGGGAGCAGTCACAAAAGTGGTGGGGGTGGGGGAGGCCTCCTGTAGAAAAAGTGGGGGAGTCCCCCTGTAGAAAAAGTGGAGGAGGAGACAATGGTCCCTGCCCCCACCCCGCTCCCGCCGCCGTTGCTTTTCAGAAAAGATACACTGCACTATTGAAAGGAAAGATGGAAGGAAGTACGGGAGAAATTAGACCAAGGACTACGTGGATTGATAACATCAAGGAATGGTGTGGGTTAAGGTAATGGCAATATGTAAGTACAGCATAGTGTAGACGGGAATGGAAATCCATATTAGCCAACCTGACAGGTACCGGTAACAGGTAACAAATTCCGAGTCGCTGTTGATCAGTTTTTTGTGCCAATTATAACAATCTTTCAACACAAAGACATACAATATTCGAGACAACAGACAAACCATGAGACTATCCCGCATTTTCAGGTCTCCAAAGCGATTAATATTGCACTCTTTTACCACCGGTTCAGGCAAAGAAACTGTGGGGTTTTCGTGTGAAAATGTGTAATTTGTCGGTATGCGTATAAATATGGTCTAACAGAGCTAGTACTCTAGTCAGCTTTACGTCAGACACACGACCTTCCAAGATGTTGGTCACTAGTTGGTCACATTCGATTTTTAACAAATACTACAGTATATTTTTAGTTAATCAAGTGCACATTATGGTATAACGAATACGGTACACTTTATTCAGTTAGGTGTATGAATACAAATCATGTCGCTTTATCTCGTTTTTTTCCAATGATAGGACACTCGTCGATTTTCGCAACATGTCTGTGACACAATGCATTTCATTTCTAAAATATTCTAGTCAAATATGTTTTTGACATAGGCCCTATGTTGGTCCAGTGGATAATGATGATTATCTTAATATCCATCCACGCATAATATTGTAAATGATTTGCTTTCCGAGCCCCCTAAGAAGGTATCACTATTAAAAATAAGCTACAACAAAAGAATTACTTCACATAAAACTAGTAGAGATATTAACACAACATAGATTTACGAACTTCTCGACGGATTGTGTGGAGAGCTCTCCGTTTAGTAGAACAGCCTGGCCCTCTACTCCGACACCCCCTGCGCAATTGTGTAATACGACGCAACTACGGTATCTATCCAAGGACAACAGTGCAATTAAGTCCTATTAAAATTTCATTACTCATTTTGTAGAGGGCGCTCACTGCTTTTAAAATACATCATAACACAGTACATATTTACATACACATATATTATGTTTATATGTAATATGTACACACACACACCCACTCCTGTTACTAGAAGCAATATAATTTATTAATTCACAAACATTTCAAACACTCCTGTGTTCTTCCTCAGTGTGAGGACAACTGACAAAAAATACAAAGTAAATTCAAAGTGATTCGATGTTCTGTTTTCGTTTCGTGTGTGAATATTGCTTTACTTTGTATTTTTTGTCATTTGTCCTCACACTGAAGAAGAACACAGGAGTGTTTGAAATATTTGTGAATTAATAAATTATATTGCTTCTAGTATGTTTACAACTCATAGCTGTTTTTTATTGCTGTTTTTCTATATTTTTTATTTATCGAAGCAAACGTGGAATCTTCATTTTTTAATATATATACATTTGTCTACATTGGATACATAATGTATTTAAAATATAAATGTGACTTCACCACACAAGAAAAAAAATTTGAAGACAATAATCAATACAACGGTAGTCATGTTTACTGCATTATATTTGTTTTATTTGAGTCAAAACCACACACAAAACAAAAAGGTGATTGTACTTTACAGAAGTTATAATTATATGATGTTACCTCTAAGGCCTAATGTTAATCAGGGTTTAATACTTTAATGTTATATATAAATATTTGTACACAACTGTGGCCATTACTGTACGATGAAATCAATCTATCACAATCCATCCACCAACTTGTATACCAGTATCATTTTATACAGTAATTATTTCATTAAGTTATTTTTTTTGACACATATAAATTAAGTGGAAATATATTAATAAATTTAAATATGTAATTAAATAACTTGGCATTTTTTATAATCTAAGCCTGTTATACACAACAAAGCTGCTGAACACTCTTACTGTATATATAGACCATGATTTATTTAAACAATTATTGTATTCTGTGCAGAAACAAGAATATTTTGAATAGTTATGAACTGATTATAACTGACAATATCAGCCACTTCGTCCACGCTATAAAATTTTGCAGGTTCCACAGTCTGAGCCTTTTAAACACTAGACAAAGGTGTTTCAAACATACAGACATACACACACAGCGAATGTGATTCTATTACAACTACAGTATTTATTCTATTCTGCGCAACGTAAATAGCTATGATTATAGATTATGACAAAATATCAATCACCCATGTAATGTAATATAATATATAGTAGTGCAGACATTCATTCAGAAAACAATCTATTTTCAGTGTTGAAGGATTACATTAAGTTCTATTAGCATTTCCCAACCAGTTACACCATAGAGAAAATTTTCTCTATGGTTACACTAATCCAGAATTCATGTCAATATGTCAAATGATTAAATTCTCAACTGTTCAACATTCCTTTATCAATTACCATTTCTTGATTGTCTACTTTGTGTAGGTCCAATAACATTTGGTTCTGTATTACTGACATTCAATCTGAACAATCACAGTAGTATTTTCAAGGATTCCTTTTACAATCAATAACGTGAAACCTACAGTATATGAATATTAAGCATCAAGACATCAATATTAAATTTTCTAAACCAGCTTGTGTAACTTACTGTACAGCAAACCAACATGCAGCAGATATACAAATATTTCATTACAACTTTATAAATAATATGCTAAAAGTAACAGAGTACAACCATTGCTTCTTTGCGGCCTGTTAAATTACCTCTCCAGATTGGACCCATAAACAGTATTCTATGATATTATTTGCTAAAATTTCATTTCGGCCATGTTGTTAGTACTCTGATGTACCTGTAGTATACGTAATATTAGTTTGTGTATTTCTAAAACCTGGTCACCTGAATGAAAATGAAAGATCGATTAAATCTAGTAGAAACGATTGAACTCAACACCAGACCCCTGGTCTTGTTTCTTACACATCCTCAGAACGACAACAGTTAGGACAATAGTTATGATCATCACCAGCAATGGCCAGAAGATGACGTGAAAGGCGTCAAGTGTGGTGTAGTTCTTCTCTCCCACGACGTTATCAAATTTCGATAAAATGTAGTAACAAGGATACACTTTTCCTTGGGCATGTTGACTGGCATAATCCTGGACTGCCTGGTTCTTCTGAATAAATATTGGTGCTCCTGGTATGTCAATTTCATTGCGATTATAGGCATTGCATGCTGGGTAGGAGCACTGAAAATACACATTAAGGTATGAATGAGTTAATTACCATATTCCTATCAAACAATAAATTTTAAGTACCGTATTTATTTGAATTAAGTGCCTCACTTTGAATAAACACCTCCCTTGAATAAACGTCCCATCCAGAGCCTCATTTGAATAAATGCTTCCTCGATAAATGAAAAAAAAAACTAATGGAAGCAACATTATTCTCAACATATTCTATTAATGTTGGACTGCTGTAGAATTGCATTTTTTCTAACCTGCTTTGGATCAATTAGTCCTTATGATCACACATTAACACATTCTGACATTAATTATGTGTTGTAGTTCCCATTCACTATGAATTTAAAGGGCGTTTCCATACAAATTCATTATACACCAAAAAATAAACACCTTCCACAAATAAACGCCCCCTCAAAAACCCTTCTCGAATGAATATGGTATTATTTATAAAAAATTTTTATGTCACTTTTCTTGCCAAGTCATTATGCTAATTAAAAATGATCTTCGAACTTGGTCACGCAAGACACTCCAGTGTGAAAAATCAATCATTGGGTACAAAAAGGGTTTTCATTTCATGCTATAGAAGTAATAATTGGTATTTACAGTAATGTGCAGCACTCATGCATCAATGAACATGTAATTATAATGTAACCATGAGCATTCTATTTTTAAGCAATGTACAGCGTATTTAAATGAGTACGTTTTTAAGGTATTCAAGATTCAACACAGGTCAAAGTATAAAGTGGTATTTGATCTTGTGAAACATTGTTTTACCATTTCTAGAACATCTTGTCAAACCAAGCATAATTTCTGGATGAAGAAACGATGGTTAAAAGGGGATTTCATTACACTGCTTCAATTTCAAATACAGTATTCCCTAATATTGTGTTATTAAACCCAAAAGTAAGTCGTCACATTAAATCCCAATGACCAGGGAAAACAAAGCATTTTGTAACCTAAAGGAATAGGTGCTATAAATACCAATAACAATAACAAGTAACAGTGTAATGGTATTGGACATAATCAAATGTTATGCAGGGCAAAAAATAAATTGATTTGCTTGATTGAAGAAGTTTTTTATGGATCATAGGCGAGCAATCAAGGTGGCATTTCTTATTGCAATATTTTCTGAAAGAGGCTACTTTATAGGATATAGCTTAAAGGGAATCCATCTTTGTCTCGCTTGGTGACAGTAAGGCCAAGGAGTGGCTGTTCTGGACTACTCAGGCATTCTGGTTCCCCTTTTCACTGACTTCACAATTCCCACATGCTAAACAGAGGAGGTCCCCGGCAAGTGCCCCATTCTCATCATGACTCTATTCAGTCCTGCCTACTGTACATGCAAAAGATTTACTCCACATTGCTACTCTACTCAATTAAAAAAATCAATTTAAAACTAGAAATTGCAAATTGCAAGTGAAGTGCTGCGAAGTACAACTGCATATAAATGTTCTTCGAACAAAATTATGCGAGTCAAGTGAAAATAATGAATAATAAAAATATAACAAATAATATGAGACATGACCCATTGTCTATATTAGAACACTTCTCATTGGGTGACAAAGTCGTAATTTTTCATTTTTGTCAAAAAGTATCTATAGTGGTGAATTATGGTTTAGGTTTTTTTTAAACAAAGTTTCAAAAATGTCTATGTATGTGGAAAATGTAGTTGATTACCAAAGGTTACAATTTTTATTTTGAAGACTGCATGGTCTAGGAAGTGTACATTTTTTTATGGGACAAGTTTGCAAGGGCAGGTTTTCTAGGGGCGAGTTGACTGCCAAAGAGTGTTGCCAAAGTGCGAGCCAGTGTGTTCTTTGATCAAAAGTGCGAGAAATCACAAGTGTGAGCCAGCGAGCCATGACGTCACGACAATAGATACGAGACATTAACGAGTTGTGCGAGGTATCGGCTGAGATTTGTGGAGTACAATTCAAAAAACAACTATAGGTCTAATAATGAACTATTGTGATGTTAAATAGACAAGCTATCAAGGAGCGACGTTGTTTTTCATTGGGACCTTCGTCCCTTCAAGGCTAGGCTTATACCATCCTAGCTAGTCTAGGCCTAGAGTAGGATTTTTTATTTGGTGAGATGATTTAGTATGGGGAGTTTTCAAGGCGGCGAATTTTCTAGGGGCGAGTTTGTAGAGGCGAGTTGACTGCCAACGCACCACACAACGTAAGCATGATCAAATTCGAGTCAACTCGGCACCAAGTCAACTTGGCCACAGTTTCGCGGCCCCCTAGAATAATACATTTTTAATTATTGTTTTAAAATGTAATAATTAGCACGTTGACATAAATTTTAACTGGGTTCGTAAATACTATAGGCCTCAAAATACTGTGCCGAGACTTGGGCCGAGTTGACATTTATATCGCCCATGGTTATAGTAAAAACGCTGAATAGTAATACTCAAGCGTCTCGAGCTGATGTACAGTAGAAACATAGTACAAAACGAGCGTTGGTACCGTGTATGCCAGTCTACAACAAGCGTCACCTAAATGTAATAATTAGCACGCTGAAATAGGCTAGTAAATAAGTTTAACTGGGTTCGTAAATAATATTGGCCTCAAAATATTGTGGCTGAGA